GGGAGGGGAGGACATCAGGCACTCTGAGCAGGGTCAGGGCAGTTGCCCCCGACATGACCCGACCTCCCGTACCAGCCAGGGGCCCTTGTTACCAGGCTCGCTGTGGGAAGAGACTGGGTTTGCTCCCCGCTCATTGGCCAGCTGAGGAGCGCCTGTTACTAGAGGCGACAACGAGAGCCCATTGGTCGCGACACCTCACAATGGCCCCCCAGCAGCGCGCAGGGCCCTTCCGATTGGTTCGCTGCTATCTCAGAAGACCCTGTTGCCCCGAGCCCAGGCTACTTGGCTCCCAACACGACCCCCCTTCCCCATTGGCTGTCCTGGCAAAAGCCGCTATCTAATAAGGAGCGAGGTGCAGAGTCACCGAGCCTGTGCTCCCGGTGGCTGGATCTAGTCCTGCAGAAGGGCGACCCCGCCCTGCACTGCAGGTGGCCAAGCTAGTGCAAAGCCCAGGAGCCCGGCAACGCTCCCTTGGCTTGAGGACGAAGGCCTGCAGAGGAGTCTGGGCCTCCCCTCGAAGCTCCGTGTCTCCAACCTGGAACCCAACCCGGTAGGCTCCAGTAAGTTTGACGCAGCCACGTGGCGTGCGGACTGGACTCATTCGGGGCCCACGGAGATGGGCGTCCCAATCCCTGCGTCCTTGTTTAGTTATACCCTTAAGCGTTGATATGCCAATTGTTGATTCGCTTCATTAATTTGGCTTTCTGCGTCCCCCCCTCCTCCCCCCGCCGCACCGCCTGTCCAAATCCTTACTTCTCTCCGACCGTGTTGGGAATCCTGTGTCCTAAAGAATTCCGATTGAGATTCGAACCAGGGAGTGGTGGAGTCGAGGGTGAACGCCCGGAGGGACGATGTTCTACTATCCCAACGTGCTTCAGCGCCACACTGGCTGCTTTGCCACCATCTGGTGAGGGCGGGGCCGGTGGACGCACCGGGAGGGGCACCCAGGGATCGCAGCCTGACCCTCTATCCGCACCCTCCCGCACTCCGCTCCCCCTCCAGGCTGGCAGCGACGCGTGGCAGCCGGTTGGTGAAGCGCGAATACTTGAAGGTGAACGTGGTGAAGACCTGGTAAGGCTCAGAAAAAGGCACAGGGAGGGCCTAGTAGGGGGAGCAGGTTAGAGGATGGGGTGGGCAGGGCTGTAGAGCCGATCCTGGCTGCAGCGGTCATCAGGACCCGTCATCCCCCCAGCGAGGAAATCATCAATTATGTGCTGGTTCGAGTGCAACCCCCGCTGCCCGGCCTGCCGCGGCCCCGCTTCTCCCTCTATCTCTCAGCCCAGCTCCAGATCGGCGTGGTCCGGGTCTACTCTCAACAGTGCCAGTACCTCGTGGGTAAGACTGGGAACACTCAGAGGCGGGGCAGAGCTGAGTGGCCCTCCACTAGACTGGCTCTCTACCTTGCCCTCCATGCCCACAGAGGACATCCAGCACATCCTGGAGCGCTTACATCGGGCCCAGCTGCAGATCCGCATTGATATGGTGGAGCCTGAGCTGTGAGTGTCCCCCTGGGAACTGGGACCACCCAACCTTTGGTGGAGCACCTACCCACTTGGCCTCAGCCTATCTCAGTCTCAGTCCTTGACAGCCCACTTCTCTCCCAGACCCGGCCTGCTGCTTCCTAACCGCCTGGCCATGATGGAGACCCTGGAAAATGCTCCAGACCCCTTTTTTGGGATGATGTCTGTGGAACCCAGACTTCCCAGTCCTTTTGATATCCCTCAGGTAGGACTCATTCCCCCAGAACACCTGACTGATGAGTTGACAATGCAGGAGGGGAGTACTGTCCCTGTGCAAGTCTGACACTGGGGTCAGGGGAAGGGAGCCTGCCACAGGTCTCCCCTACAGGAGATGTGCAGGGGACTGTCATGGTGGACCCATCCAGGCAAAGCCCCCTATACTTATCTACTCGGGGCCAACCTGATAGGTGGTCTCCCCACTGGAGGCAGCTTTTGTCCCCCATGTCCTGTTCATGTCCACACTGTTCTTGCTGCTGAGGCCATAATCCAGGCCCTTGTCATCTCTCTGCACTGAGCTTCCTTACCCATGTCCTCCATCCATTCCCAACACTCCCACAGCTTACTGTCACCCCCTTCCTTGGTTCTTCAGTCAAACAGTGGCTCCTGCTGCAAACAAAATACTAGCATTTGGGGCTCTCCATGCCTTGGTTCAGAGCTAGCCATCCCTAGACTTCTCTCTCAGCAAATCCCCTGAGCATCCTTGGCTCCCAAACACCAGTCTGGCCCCTGTGCCACAAAGATGCCACATTCACGTCTTTGCTTGTGCTGTTTCCGTAGCCCATAATGGTCACCCCTCATTCTGTTCTAGTGAGTCCTACATATCCTTACAGACCTGGCTCAAATACCACCCTTTTCTCATGCAGTCTTTATCCCACTCCTAGCCAGAACCAAATGCAGTTCGTGAACTCAGCACTTTACCAGGGCCTTGGTTTATCCTTTGCCTTGACTCTTGTTGGGATCACATACAAACTTGTCTCTCCCACTAGACCATACGCCCCTTAAGATCAAGAAGCTTTTCTGTTCACCTCAGTCCCCCACAACACTTGACATAAGGATGCAGTGCTCCTTGCATTCTTGACAAATTGACAAAAGGCTAGATAATTGGGAGGGTGGGTGGTAAGGGCAGGAACAGGAGGAAGGGAAACCAAATGACAAGTGGGTTTATTGTATGCTGATGTCAATGCCACAAGAACGAGACATAAAATATTACCGCCCATTGTCTAAATAAGGTTGTGAAAGTGGGAAAGCAGAAGGCTGAAGCTGAACCCTATCTTTTGCCCCCAATCCCTCCCCAAAGATTCGACACCTCTTAGAGGCTGCAATCCCAGAGAGAGTTCTTGAAGAGATCCCTCCTGAAGTTCCTACAGAGCCCAGGGAGCCAGGTCAGCAGAGAGAATCTTCTTTGTGGTGAGAGGCACAGAAAGGCTCAAGAGTTGAAGAAATGACTATCTTTGAGTTTCTCTTAAGAGCCAGGCCCTGTGAAGTGCACTTTATGTGTGTAACCTCATCACTGTCTCACAAGAGTCCTATGCGGTCAGATTTTCTTATCCCCACTTTACAGATGAGGATAGTGAGGCTCACAGTGGTTAAATAGTGTACCCAGGGTTAGGTTGCCAGTGACTGGCTTGGGTCTGACTAGAAGCCAGGTTGACGTGACTCCAGAGTCCATGCTTTTACCTCACTGCATGGGTGTGGGAATTTAGAAAGAAAACAGAGGGGCTGGTGTGACTTCCCTGCCTGCCCCTCCAGAGAGGATTCCGGTCACTGTGGTGTCTCCTGAGGCCATCACCCTCCGGGAGGCAGAGCCCATATGCATTCTGGAGATCGAGGTGAGTGGTCCCCCTGCACACAGGGCCTGAGGCCCAGCCCTCTTGCCTCTATTTCTCTCTGCCCCCAGTCCTGCCTTCTCTGTCTCCATTTTCCCACTCCCTGCCCCTGGCACGTGATCAGCCAGCTTGGCTTCCTTGGACCTAGACCTGTGGTGTGCCTCCCAGATCCTCTCCTGGATCTACTTGCCTTTTTCAGAAATGAAATTGAGTCCCCTCCCCTTGCTCTCTTTCTTGACAGGGTGAACGGGAGCTCCCAGAGATCAGCCGCCGAGAGTTAGACCTGCTGATTGCGGAGGAAGATGAAGCTATCTTGTTAGAGGAAGGCAGGCCTCCCCGGCTTCGTAGGGCCCGCCCAGAGCTAGAAGGTCAGGGTCCTCTCTTGTTGGGGCTCCGCAGCCCATCTCTTCTCTTCTGCCCCCTGAGTGCTGATCCTGTCTCTGCAGAGTTCAAGGAGGAGCCCCGGGCCCCAGAAGTTGCCGTTGCAGTTCCCCCGCCCTCGCCTCCAGCTCCTGTACCGTAAGGGCAGGAATTCCTAGACCAGGGAGGGGGTCAGTGCTGGAAAGGGGGTCCTAATTTCCCTTGCCCACTTTCCCCCAGGGTGGAACGGATAGAAGAGCTACTTCCAGTAGAGGTCCTAGGTCCTGAGGAGCTGAAGCTAATAGGCTGGGAGCCCGGGGTCCCACTGGCTGGTAAGTGCCCACCATGCCTGGGGGGCTTTCCTGGAAGAACCTCTGCACTGCTGCAGACCAGGGCCCTGGATCCCAACTTGCTGAAGGGAGGACCCTGCAGCTTCTTGCCCCAGTGGCTTTAAGGGTGAAAGGGCTTGTGAGACAGAGCCAGGACCCCGGTGTTGTTGCAGAGGTGACTCCACCGCCAGAGCTGCGTCTGCCAGCCCCACCCAGCCCAGAGGTGAGTAGTATCCCTTCCAAGCCTCCTCCTTCTCTTTACCCTCCCCTCCCAGAGCTGCTTCCCGAAGCCCAGGGCTACCACTAGCTTACATAGGGCCTCTGCGCAGATCAGTAAAAGATGCCCCTTTCTGCACGCGATTATCTGGCCTGCACCTCCCAAACGTGCATCCGCAAGGTATGAGCTGCACAAGCATGTGGAGGCCTTGTCCAAGCTCTTTCCCCAGGTGCCTCTAGGGGCAGAGAGTATGGGGCCCTGTTAGCAGTCCACCAGGATCGCAGGAAAAGGAGTAATGGGTAGCTTTGCCCCCACCTCCCCTCCCCACTCAGCTGAGGCCCCTAGTCCCCCCACCTCCTGAAAGACCACCAGCTCGTCGCCGCCGCCAATTACTGTTCTGGGATGAGGAAACTCAGATCTCTCGAGAGAAATTCCAGGAACAATTGCAAACCAGAGCCCACTGCCGGGAGTGTGTGAGTGCAGCCCAGCAGGCTCTGCTGGGGGAGGGAGGGAGGCAGGGATGTCCTGGGGCAGGTGCAGGCTGGGCCTTCTAAACTCCTGGGGGGGCATTTGGGAATTTGGTTAAAACCCCCGTCCAATCCTCAGTAAGCACATGTGAAGTGGGTTTGCACACACACAACTCTTCACGCTCCTTCCTTAGTGCATCCATGGGCACTATGCTAAAAAGTCCTTCCTTTAGCAATAAGCCAGGCAGGGAGTGTCATGAGCCTGAAAGGGGGGGGGAGTGCAGAGGCCCTAATGCATTGTGAAAGCTGAAGGGGCACTGAGGACTAGCTCCTTCATAACGGGGCCTCTGGCCTTCCCTCACCATGCAGCCAATGGTGCAGCCTCCCGAGAGGACAATCATGAGCCCTGCGGAGTTATTCCAAACCCCAACTCACAGTAAGAACGGTGGGAATTGAGCATGTAGGATCCCCGGAACCCAGATTCCTCACTCTTGGTGTTCCTCATGCCTCCAACCCTTATCCCCAGCTGGCTGGCTACCCCCAGAACTACTGGCTTTGTGGAAGCACGGTGCCCTGCCACCTCCAAGCATGCTCAGGCAAAGGCTGCTCCAGGAGGCTGAAGAGGCTGAGAGGGCGGCAGCTGCTGAGGAGGAAAGGAGAAAGGCTGAAACTCCAAGTGAGATCGAGGTAAGTGCCACAGTGCCTCCTGCGAAGGCCCAGTGCTCTGCTTTGCCTGAGCCCCAGCAGGATGCCTTCTGCCACAAGGCCCAGGACACAAGCTCACTGGCCTTTGCACCTTAAGGCCCAGGCCCCAGACATTTGTGCTGCTTGGGGTCTTAGTTCTCCTTCTCCCATCCCCAGGTCCTGAGGGAGGCCCTGGAGCCCAGTGGTCCCCTCATGGTGTCTGCAGGTAAGCACCCGGAGAAGAGGGGACAGTGGGGACCACCGCCCTAACCACTGTTCTCAGGAAACTAGGACCCCAACTGCTGAAGCTGTTTTTATCAGAGTAAGGGTGTGTAACATAAGGAAGCATAAATCGACTCTATTCACTTCTCCCACCTATGTGCTTTTAACAAGTCACTGCAGCTCTGGCATCTACTCAGACCAGGTGGCCACAAGGTCCTGACTGCTTAGAGCCTAGTAGACTCCCTCTCAGCACCTTTCCTCCCCTCAACAGAGATCTCCCTAGAAGCAGCTGAAGAGGAGAAGTCCCGTATCAGTCTCATCCCACCAGAAGAACGGTGGTAAGCTGCCAGGCTTTGTGGGAGCTGTGGGGGAAATGGCTGCTAGGATGGGTATGCCCCTCATCACTGTCACGGCTGCCACCTTTCCTGCATGACTCCCATGTTCTCTTAGGGCCTGGGCTGAGGCAGAGCAGCCAGAGCCCCTTGCATTGCCCGTGGTGCCTGAACTCCCTGAGGTGCCAATGGAGATGCCTTTGGAGCTACCCCTAGAGCCTGAGCTGCTCTCACCAGAGGCCGTGCACAGGTACCAGGGAGGGGGTGCCTCAATGGGGTGGACCAGAGCTGGCTCTTCAGCTAACAGTCCTTGTTCCCTACAGGGCAGTGGCCCTGGAGCTTCAGGCCAACAGGGAGCCTGACTTCAGCAGCCTAGTGCCACCTCTCAGCCCACGCAGGATGGCTGCCCGGGTCTTCTACCTGCTCCTGGGTGAGCGAGTGAGTGTGTGTGTGCAGGGTGGGGACACACAGACCAGAGGCTGATATAGGGACTTCCCACCTGACCCACCCGCTCTTCCCCTCTTGACCAGTGCTCTCAGCGCAGAAGATCCTTCGAGTGGAACAAGAGAAACCATACGGGCGCCTCCTGATCCGGCCAGGGCCCAGATTCCACCAAGATTAGAGCCCATTTACAAAGCTACTAGGAAACTGGTTACATTAAATCATGTTCTGTGGCACTGGGCCCTGCCTGCCTTGTTTCTGAACATGCATCTCCATCCTTCCTGTTCTCAGAGCTACTGTTTAAGCAGAAAACAAACTGCCTTTATTACAGTATGATGTCATGACTCCATTTTAACAGATCCAGCCCCATGGCTACTCCTGGAAGGCAGCAAGCAGGGCTGACTCAAAATGGGTCTGAGGCCCAGAATCTTTGGTAAGGTGTGAGCTGGAATTGGGCTGAGAGATGGTCTTAGGGCCTGGCAGGGCCTGGGCAGGCTCTGTTCTCTCTGCCCTAGCTGCAGCCTGCAGTCTAGGTGAGGCCCAGTACAGTCTGGAGCTCCTGGGCCTTGTCAACAGGCAGCGAGCCCAGCGCCGTATGGAAGCTGTCGGTGTGCTGTTTGGCTAGTAACGTCAGGAGCAGCAGCAGTGCGGCCTTGGTGTCTGGGTGGAGAATGAGAGAGAGAGGTCCTGGGGGAGGACTGGGACCCCCAACCTTTGCTGCCCAAGCCCTCTGAGCCCTGCTGCTCCCTGCCTCCCCCCAGCTCCTACCCACAACTGCCACCCTCACCTTGTGGGATTTTGTTGTCAGCCAGAATGAAGCTGCAGATGCGCAAGAGCTCAGGAGCCACATCTACAACCTGTGGGCAAAGAATGGCTGACTCAGGGGGAGTAGCAGCCCTAGGCCCCAGGACTTGGGTGGGTGGTCAGGACAGGCAGGAGAGGCAGAATCTCCTTTTAGGGCTGTCTGAGCCTGATATTGATTCACAGGCATGTGAGACAACTGTGAACATGAGAAAGACCAATGAAACATGGTGGTAATAGTTTTTTAGGCCAGGCGCGGTGGCTCACGCCTGTAATCCTAGCACTCTGGGAGGCCGAGGCAGGGGGATCGTTTGAGCTGAGGAGTTTGAGACCAGCCTGAGCAAGAGCGAGACCCTATCTCTACTAAAAAAAAAAAATAGAAAGAAATTAGCTGGCTAACTAAAAATATATATATAGAAAAAATAGGCATGGTGGCGCATGCCTGTAGTCCCAGCTACTTGGGAGGCTGAGGCAGTTGGATCGCTTGAGCCCAGGAGTTTGAGGTTGCTGTGAGCTAGGCTGACGCCACGGCACTCTAGCCCGGGCAACAGAGTATAAGACTCTGTCAAAAAAAAAAAAAAAAAAAAAAAATTTTTTTTTTTTTTTAGAAAAGATGGGGGATATGTGACAAGATGATTAAAGTCATAGCCTCAAGACCAAAAGAAGCCAAGACATACAGGAGGTGCTCCACCAACACCATAGTCTCTACAGGTGTAAGACAAAGGTGACACAGAAACATTGGGACATGAGTCCCAACCCAGCCACATGGTACAGGGAAAACATCTTTGGAAAGCACAGCTTCTCTGACTGAAATGTATAGTAGGGTGGCCAAGGGGTACCCTACTATGCTCCATGCAGCACAGTCTGAAAGAGCTGGGGTCTAGGAAATTAGCCTAGGAAACCTGCAACTTCTGGCTCAGACCATAGGGTAGAAATGAAGCTCCCTGAGGAAAAACGTTAAGTGGAGAGAGGAAGCCCCTCCTCTCCCATTCAGGACTGGCTGCCAATTCTTGTAGACAAATAAGAAAATGGATGACTAGGGGGTATCTCCCAACAGCTGAAATTGTCACCCTGCACAGTTGCAACTGCCACCACCTTTCCCTCTCCCTGAGACTGGAGCTTTGCACTCTCCTCTGAGGGCTGCCAGCACGGAGGTTACCTGGTCAGGGCTGCTCTGGTACAGGAAGCTGAAGAGGTGGCCCATGGTGACCCATTCCTCCAAGTCCTCCTTCAGTGGCAGGGCATGCAGCAGGGCAGCCAGCACCTGGAGATACAGATGCCTCAGGCCAACTGGCCCTGACCTCTCCATCACCCTCCTCGGCTTCCAGGCTCTGCGTGGGCCCCCCACTCCCTCACCTGAGGCTCTGGTTTCCTTGTGGGACTAGCCATCAGCAGGCGGGCGAGTGCCCCACAGATGTTGTCACGGACACGATCATGTCGCTCCCGTGCCAGGAGGGGCAAAAGGAGCCCCAGCAGCTTGGGGAAGTGTCTGGTCCACAGTCAAGGAATGGGCAAACACACGCGTAGACCTTGCCCATCCCCAAATCCTAAGGACACTCTCCCAACCACTCCCCTCCCCTTCTGCAAGTTAAGGATACTCCTGGGCAGGGCGGCCCCCATGCTCTGCCAGCACACCCAGCCCAAAGATGGCATTGCTCCGCACCTCAGGGTTTGCTTCCCGGGAGGAGCTCAACAGCACAGGGAGCAGCCGAGACACAAACTGGGCTGAGGCAGCACCCAGCCCCTGAATAGACTCCGCCAAGGTCCCTACCGCAAAGGACTTCTCTGCCACTGTGCAGCCCTGCTTCTGATGGGGGAGGGTGGGGAGGAGTACATATCAGCCTGGGACCAGGATAAAGGCCAGGATGGGCACTGGGTACACAGGGGGACTAGGGTTCCAAGCCAGAGGATGGACACTCACTGTCTTGCATAGTAGTAATGGCAAAAAACCGGCAAAGAAGGGGGCAAAGGTGTCTCCCCCCGCCGCAGCTGCCAGGGCAGGGATGGCCTCTCCAGCATGCTCTAGCAACATGGCGTCGTATTCAGCCTGTGGAGCCAGGTCAGGGGCTGGAGCACCAGGGCCAGCTCTGTGTGCCTACCTCCCCACCATGCTCCGCCACTGGCTACAGGTGGTCCCAGGGGCTGCCAGTCCCAGGCTGGGCTTTTTCTTTTTTTCTTTCTTTCTTTTTTTTTTTTTTGACACAGAGTCTCACTCTTTTGCCCGGGCTAGAGTGAGTGCCGTGGCATCAGCCTAGCTCACAGCAACCTCAAACTCCTGGGCTCAAGCGATCCTCCTGCCTCAGCCTCCCGAGTAGCTGGGACTACAGGCATGCGCCACCATGCCCAGCTAACTTTTTTCTATATATTTTTAGTTGTCCAATTAATTTCTTTCTATTTTTAGTAGAGACGGGGTCGCGCTCTTGCTCAGGCTGGTTTCAAACTCCTGAGCTCAAACAATCCGCCCACCTCGGCCTTCCAGAGAGCTAGGATTACAGGCGTGAGCCACTGCGCCCGGCCCCAGGCTGGGCTTTTTCACAGCCCAGCTTCTTCGCCTGGCCCTGCTCCCACCTATCACTCCAAGCCCACCCCAGTCCATACTGCTCTCCTTTCTTGAACTCCCACTGGCTTAGTGGGATCAAGGTTGCCCCATTATGGCCATCAACAATCTCTTCTGGTGGCCCTGGCTGCCCCAGGCCTAGCCCAAGTGCACACTCTACCCCTGCCCCTGTGAGACTATCCAGACTGCCTGGTCCTAAGTTTTCATCCATAGCTCTTACCTGGTCATCATCATCCTCATCCTCCTCATCAGTGTCCTGACAGGCTGTCTGCAAGAAGAAAAAGCTCAGCTTAGCCTGGGCTCTCCTGCCCCTTCTCCTTTCCATCAGGGACAGGGATGGAGCTGGACAGCTAGATTTGTAGCCTCTGACTATCCCCCACCTAGGGCCTCTTCCCGAAGCCCACCTGCCCTGCTCACCTTCCTCTGTAGCACAGCCTTCAGCATGCTGCACAGCTCAGCAAGGCGCCCAGGGGGCTGCAGTGTTAGGGTCCCACAGGTGCGCAGCACCACCGTCAGGGCCTCCAGCACGGCCATCACCACCTGGCGCTCCTGTTCCCCATTCACTGCCTGCATGTAGGATGGCACCACCTGGGCCAGGGCAGCCTGCAGAGCTGGGGACATTTTTGGCTGAAGCCCCAGTCAGGCCCTGCCCCTCCCTTAGAGACCCCAGCCTGGCCCCACCTCCCCTTCTCACCAGCACTGTTGAGTTCGGAGGGACAGCCTTGACAAGTCTTGTACAGTGCACAGCAGAACTGACCCAGAGCCTCATGGGCTGCCTTCCGCACATTCGGGTGAGGGCACTGTGGGACAAGGAGGGTGGGGTGTGCCTGCTATGTGCAGGGTGCACATGGGTCCCCCAGCCTGAGGACCCCACCCGCTGTGCCACTGGCCCACTCACCTCCAGCAGTTTGAATACTTCTTCAAAGACATTTTCCATGTACGGAAGGAAGGCCACACTGTGGAGAGACACACGGCTGTGGGGAAGGGGCTCCCAGACAGGTTCCCAGTGTCAGGAAAGGACCGACACTCACCATGTGTTCACAGAGATCTCTCCAAGAGCAGAGCAGGCATCTTCCTTCTCATCGAAGAAGGCATTCTCCACGCTGTACCTAGAGTAACGTGAGGAGGCAGCAGTGATCAGGCACTAGGAGGAGCAGAGCCGGCACTGGGCCCTTGTCCAAAATCAAAGTCTAGATTCCTCTGACCCAGAACAGTATCCCTCCGCACCCTGAGATCTCAGAGTCTTCCTCCTCTTCCACCTCCTCATCCATGAGCTCCTCCTCTTCCTCCCCATCACTCTCATCGTCAAACAGAAGGAAGGAGCTGCTTCCATCATACTGAGGCTGGATGGAAGAGACACAGCAGGGCCTTTGGCTCGGCTGGGTCCAGGAGATAAATCCCATCGTAGGGTTGGCCTTGCCCAACTGGCCCAGCGCACCCACCCTCTGCTCACCACAATGCCCTCGGTGGAACGCAATGACAGCAGCATGAGCGTGGTGATTTGTGGCAGGTAGGGCGCCAGGTCCTCACCCATCAGCCCTGATAAGGCTGCGAACAGGCTGTACCTGGATGAAGCAGACAAAAGCTGTGTGGTCCTGCCTGCTGTAGCCAGACAGGATGGGGGAGCCTAGGGAAACCTGGCTATGGTCCAAAACCAGAGGACTGGGGTCTGGGGTGGGGACTGTGGGTCCAGCGGGTGGCCAGGAGGGGTGGGGGCAGGGGCAGGTGAGGGTAACTCACGTGCAGCGCCGCAAGTCAGGGTCGTCTACCTGGTCGCAGAGGCCCAGGCCCAGCCGGCAGCATTCCTCAGCCAGGGGCCTCAT